TATCTTCTGATTACATGTTACGTACTTCCAGTTGCTTCTGCGTCATCTGCTTTTGCTGATTCATCAAGGTTTTTCAAGTATTGACCATTCGTGCGTTCATGATAAAGTTTTCTCTCAGCAATAATCTATGTAATAAATACGAGGTTAATGTTTTTTACCAATTTATTAAATGCATTGACAATGTGTTTTCAATACATTTCTTTTGCAATATTTCTATACAAAAGTTATAAAATTTTTATCGTAAGATTTCAATATAGATAACATTTAAATACCTTTTTAGTAAATCCGTGTAATATTTTCAGAACCTTGGCTTCCTCTTTGCCTGTTGACGTTAACGAAAATATCCAATTTGTGGGGTACAGCCATTGCCACGTTAATCTAAACAATAATTATAAAATGATAGACATTCTACTTTAAAATAATATAATTTCGTAAATGAGAATCTTCAAATTTCTTTATACATTCTGAGAAATAGGAAACTAAATTTTAATAACTATGTGAAGAAAGAATAGATTTGCAATAATAAAAATATGCCTAAAGGACATATAAATACATGTATTAATTTTATGTATAAATTTTAATTATTAAAATTATGTATTACATTTTTTTAACTTTCCAATCAGAAATGGAAGATTAAATAGTTAAAAACCCATATTTTCATATTTTTGTTTTATTTTCTATGACATCTATCTTAGTACTTAAAATTTTAAGCAATATTTATTTTTAAATGTATATATATTTTATCTTTAATCAACCTATAAACATATAAACAATTACAATTATAAATTACTTATAACTATAGATTTCACCCATGCGTATAACCGCTTTCCGATATTGTTCCTGGAGTTCACCATGATTTTCTAATGAAGTACCCATGGCAGTTTCTGCAAATGCATTTGTATTTGTACCGAAGTTTTATGATATCTAATTTTATTATACATATGTTATCCATAAGCATCTGTCTCTTACAGAAAAATTTAATATTTAATGAAAGATAGTGATTATAATACTAAAGAACAGTGCTTATAATAGATCGGAAGAGCACACGTCT